ATACTGTTGACAGATATAGAGCAATGCGGCGAGGAAGCTGGTTTGGGAAGGTGATGAATGGGGCACCATGTGCACAAGCATGGCCATGGGGCAGTGTGAATGGTTCACACTGAGCATCATTGCACAGAAGGAAATAATTCAATCTGTGAAAGTGCAGGCGTTTTATGACTGAAAATAAAGAGTGAAGAGCTGAGGCTTGAGTCTTAATGATTTTCTGAGAGTATGAGCTGAGAGGAGACTTCATAAGGACACACAGGAAGATCAAGACGTGGGAGAAGAATCAGCAGACTGTGGCAGACTCCAAGGGTAACGAGTTTTGAGTTTGAAGGATGAAATTTTGCAGAGAGGTGACAAGAAGAATGCCAGGGAAGAATGTGAGATCTGGCAATTTTCGGTCTAGACATTCAGGCGTCAGATTATTTTAAGCATTGGGCACGCTCGTTCGTTTTGTTTGGTACTTTAACATTGAACTATTTTCCATTCTTGCTTATTTTAGTAGATTTCTTCTGGCCTTTCACATACCATATAGGAGCTATTTTATACCCCTTTGGTGGTTCTCCTACTTGGGGCCTGGCTAATCTGAACACGCTTGTATGCTATAATAACAGTAAGCTGTAAGAATTCAGTGACTGGAGTATGGTAAACACTCCACAAAAGTTATTTGTAAGATTTCAAGCATTATGGCAGTAAGTTCTATCTTTTTAAATCACCTGAAATTTTCTTTGGGACAAATCCGATACCTATATTGTTTTAGTGTTTTCCCATGAATGCTTATATCCGCATCATAAGACATGAAGTTAAAAGAGGTTTGAGAGCCATGGTTTTATGAAGAACCTTTGATTCTTAACTCAGAGGTTCCTGCAATTATTGTGCTTATTAGATTAAGTGTGCACCATAAACTCCAAACTTCAAAGATGGAAAAGAAATACTGGATTCTCTCCATTCCTTTCAATGGTTAATGCAGTTCTCCGCTTCATTTCTTCATGTCTACTCAGAAAAGGGTGCCAGAGTGAAGGCCTTCTGAGTTGTCCCATTTTGCTGTTTAAATGATGTCTTCATCTCTTCTGGAAGGAACAACCCTAATATTCAGCTTGGAAGCAAGTTAAACGGCCTCCAGCACTCCTTTCTTGATAATATTTGGGTGTCTTTTATATTTCTCTATGAAAAGAAAATTTACTGCATGGCAAACCAGGCCAGCAAGATTTCTCAGCAACTTAATTTAGAAGTGAATTATTCTCCTGAATAGACCCATTCTTTGTTTGAATACAAGGCAATCTTTTCATGCGTTTCCCAAATAAGCACCCTAGTTACCTCTACCTGACTTTCCACTAGTGTCACTTAATGAAACAAAATGTACTTTTTCCTAATAGAGGTTTTATGCTCTCCAGTATGCCACCTCCCTAGTACAGTTCATGCTCTGAGTTCCTTTTATCTCAGTAATAAATCTGCAATTTGTGAAACTTGTTCCCAAACTTTAAAGCTAGCTCTCTGTTCTTTTTGGCATAGAATTTAGGTTTTATTTGCCCCCAAATCAGTTTTTCCAGGGGAGAGGTTTAGGACTAAGAATATTTATTATATTATAAATAAAATTAAAACAGAAAGTCCTGTCTCAAAGTTATAATATGACATTCATAAATCTATCACTTACTTCATCAGCCATTTTCTATGACTTTGGGGGAAACAGTTAAGCCTTTAAGTTAAATGAGGAATATAACTCATCCTCTATCTCATGTTGATGATAATTTATTTGTAAAAATATTTGTATGGTATTGGTGGTTTTGGTAGGTTGCTTTATAACGCCAGAGTGAAACCCCGAAAGAAGTCAGTGTCAAGATCAGACAAATGGTTGATCGGTTTCTAAGTGGTTTTCATGTTGGATTTTTAAGAAGGCAATGGACATGGACATGAACAAGCTCCTTTTAAAAAATAAATACCAAGTACGAAGAAAATTATATATTTTGGAGATTATAGGAGCTTTGCTATCTCTAAAAAGAAAGCCAAATAAAAAAGGTTCTTTCTGGCAACTGCCTTTTGCTGATGAAATTGAAGGAGAAGACACTGTTTCAGCCAGTTCCTGCCTTGTGATAGTCTTAGAATTGTAGTAGAAAAGCCATGATGTTTACTGATTCTCAAAGAAATCCCAAGGACACCCTAAAACCTCTAGTGTGAAACTTGTCATTGATAAGATGAGAGTATTGGCTGGCCGGAGAAGTTCATTAAACCCAGCTATATCCTGTGAGGCGGTCATGCCAATGCTAATTATGAACTCTTTGGTACCAAAAATAATGTATTTAAGCTTCCCAACCTACTTCACCTGACCATACTCAAAAGCAACAACAGGAGATCCAAAGGTTCTATGAAGTTATGTTTATGAACGCTGAGGGAAATTCTTTCAGTCTCACATTCCATGAACATCATCAAAGGCTTTTGAAAGAGATACTCAGAAGCTACTTAAATACTGAATCTTGTTTTCTTAAAGGACACTTTCACGGAGACATGCAAGAGATTTAAATAAAAGGTTCTATGAGCATCGCTGTACTAAATAGACGTCCAAGAAGAATATTTCCTATGTGACTAGAGACTTATACAAATAGAGCCAGTGGTTATCATCAGCCACACAGAACTGAAAGCAGGGTACATGATTAATGTCTGTTTTTAAATAAATGTATTTATTTCACTATAAATGGTGTGGAACCACATGTAGAAAATTTGGAAAAGAGAGGAAAGGAAAAAAAATCAGTTACCATCAGTTCTGCACAGTCATTGTTTTAATCTTGGTATCTAGTCTTTCACCCTTTTTCTTATTAATGCAGAAAATGGTTTTTAATACTGAAATTATTTTTTTAACATTTTTTATTGATTTATAATCATTTTACAATGTGCCAAATTCCAGTGTAGAGCACAATTTTTCAGTTATACATGAACATATATATACACAAGATCTTATGGTAGCTCACAGAGAAAAAAATGTGACAATGAATGAACGTTAGTTTTTATAAATGCAGTTTTAAAATATGTCATTCATATATAAACACACATTTAATTTGTAATGTGATAAAGCTCAAAGATACAATTTTGGAGCAACAAGTGATAACATTATGTGGAATTTGAAACAATATAACTACTGAAATGTTTTATTTTCAGCATATTTGCACTCTATTCACTCAGCTCTTTTCCATCATTAAATGTACTATGAATACAAATATTTAGAGTAAGTCCTGGCATGTGGTATGCATTACATAAATAGATGTTATATTACTGTTGCTAGTTGCTATTACTGTACTTGGTAATATAAATAACCCAAAAGTTATTAATTATAAAGGCATAGAGTGCTAAACCCTTCCATAATGCCAACCAAAATATGTTTTAAAACAAAATGGTAAATGGTAAATATTATCTAAGAAAGTATAGAGGGAAGTGCAGTGTGGAGAAGTCATTTAAAACACTTGGATTCATGAAACACCATGTAAGAAGTAGCCCACTTTTAACAGGCGTTGCTTTTCCCAAAGGGATGTACTTAATGTTCTCTTTTTCAAAGGAACTCATTCCAGTTGAATTACCTTTCCTGATAACTCTCCTTTCGTCAGACTTCTTGCGATCCTCTGCCTTCCCTTAGACAGCGTAGGAATTCATTCTCATGACCCTTTATCTTCAGGCTCCTTCTAGTGAATGAATTTAGTAGCATTAATTCACACAACTCTGTTACCCACCTAGGGAACCCTTCTCAGTGGTCTTTTGGAACCACTGCCACAATGCAAAGGGATTGGAGTGGGAATTTGGTCAATGAAAGTACTCCTTTTGACCTAATGAAATCAGGAACTATTTTTCAGCCAACTGCAAGTATAAACGATGTCTCTATCAGTGTTGAGATTACCCTCTTGCATTACCATCCTCATGTTAAACTCCTTAACGCCTAAAATATTGATATTGTGACATAAAGCAGAAAGTTATGTGAATGTCTACCATGTATCTTTCCTATTTTCCATGTTGGAAAATAAATTTTATACTGCATACAAGAAAGGCCATGTTCTTTTTTAAACCTCTTTCTAGCCCATGTTTATGTAATCAGTTTAGTTAATTAACTCATCCAAATTCTGGGTATCTCTACAGATAACTGTAGAACCACTCAATCAGTCTAACTCTCATTTTGATATCTATACTATTTGTTGATTTTTATTCCTAAGCAAGAAAACGTTGTTTCCATCATAAACCCTCTTAATAAGCCAGCTGAGAATCAGTTAAGCATCAAATTTCTACAGTGAGATTATATGTCACTACTTTCAGTATTTCATGGCTGTTTGAGTAGCAAGAATCACTTTCTCAACTAAACTTAGTAGGAAAATGAAAATGTTTACAATGTGAAGCTTTATGGCTTGTTGTCGTTTGGGGTGGTGGTCTTTGCATTGTCAGATTTTTCTCTCCATAATTAAATTTAGATGTTAAATATAAACCTTCCAAAGGAAATGATACTGAAAAAAAATGTTAACAGCCAGATCATTAAATTCTGGACTTTGATGTCTTCTTTTACCAATAGGTTGCTGCTTTCATTGTTGCTTATTTATTACAGCTTTCGAAATTCTTGTCAAAAGACTCACTTCAGGTTTGAAAATAATTACAGAATGACTCAAGAAGCTGAGATGGATTTTCTAAAGGCTAGTTGAAGATTGTTTTGACCTCACTTGTTTCCTTATGGGCATTTTTCTCAAGCCTTTAAGAGACAGCAACTAAATAATATTGCTTAAGTTAAAAGGCCATCTTGTGAATATTTTGGATATGTGTTATTAATATTTTAAAGAATCACTTCTCTAAACAGAGTCTAATTCTAGAGTTCTAAAACCCAGAAGAGAGAGTTATGTCTTTACAATATTTGAGGTGTCGTGTGCTCCAAAAATTCTGTCGTGAAAAATGTTAGCCTCCCATCAGAAGGATGATGAATTGAGAAGTGCCTTCCCACTCTCTGTGGTTTCCATGGTACTGATTGTCAATGCCTTTTGTTGTAGGCAGAATACTTCTATGAATTCCTCTCCTTGCGCTCCCTGGATAAAGGCATCATGGCAGACCCAACTGTCAACGTCCCTCTGCTGGGAACAGTGCCTCACAAGGCATCAGGTGGGTGGTCTTTGCCTCCGAGAAAGGTTTACATTTAAAATGGTGATGGGAATAATATTTTAGATCCAGATGTCACCACCCATCAGAGGGTTACAGAATGTTTTCCTGAAGAGATCTATTGATTTTAGGGCAGATCAGTTGCTATGTCCTATTTCCTTTGGGCAAAAGATTAAACTGGGAATGAAGAAATGGACACTTTAGAATTTCCTAAAAACTCAATTCATAAATGATTCCAGATTTAAAAAAGAAAGTCACCACGTGAGATATACGTGGTCAATAAGTGTGAATTAATGTAGTGCATATAAATGTGGCAAAGATGCACAGTAAGTGATGGAGGGTAAATGGGATAAGTCAAGAAAAACTTCCCCCAAATGAACACTGAATTAAATAGGAATTTGAAGCAGAGAAGAGACAGGAAAAAATGGGAGAAGGGAGTTCAGTCTTTTAGATCTAATCATCCTTCCCTGCTAAGAACATACAGTATGTGGTATTTGTTTAGAACTTCTCAGCCTACATAGCACCAATTCACGCATTCTCTAATTTGTGTTCGGGATGGATTTAAGGCCTGAGTTACAGCTCCATTTTACAAATTAGAAAGTTGAGGCTTGTGAGGTTTAACTGACTTTCCCAAAGTCATATATTAATGATAAGCAGGAAGCTGAGACTAGAGCCCCCAGATTTTATGACTCTTAGAAGAATTCAGAGTTCATTATTGTTAACATGTTCCAGTAGTTCCTTCTAGTCTCAGTATAGATATTTTTACATAATTGTGGTAATATTATCGATTTGGTTTTGCATGATTTTTCTTTGCATTTAACATTTTAACATAAGCATTCTCTCATGTCGTTACAGATTTTTCCAAAAGTTGTTTTTAATGCCTTTACAATATTCCATTTTATGAACATACCATGATTTATTTACTCATTCCCTTATTGTGGGTTCCTCAGATTGTTTTTAGGGTTTGCATATGGGAAATAGCACAATCAACTTCCTTTTTAAAGTAACAGGTGGTTGTTGAGCCGTGCCCTGTTTGTCTCCTTCACCACAACTGCCAGCACAGGGCCCAGATAGAACTGGCATTCAGAAAATACTTGGATGAATGTGTGTACTGAAATCTTGAAGTTCATCTCATTATTTTGTGAAAATAGGGTCTTAGAAGTAAAATTATTGTGTCAAAGGAAATGAACTATGAAGTTTTTAAAAGGCTCTTAGAACAAATTGCCAAAATGCCAAATTACTTTCTGCAAAGGTTGTGCCGATTAGCACCCTGGCTAGCAGTGTGGGAGAGTGCCTGGCTTACTGTAACCTCAGCAACATGGGTTATTAATCATGTGAGCTGTTCTGCTGACTTAAAAAGTCAAAAGTGGTTTCTCAGTGTTTAGTTTGATTTTTTTAAATTCCGGTTGAGGTAGGAGATATTTTTATATATTTGTTAGATAATGTAAAATATCTGTGTACCATACTCATTTTTAAATTGAAATAATGTGGTTCTTACTGATTTGCAAAGCTCACTATATATTAAATATTTATTCTTGATTGCAATTTTTTCCATTTATCATTTATCTTTTATTTTTTTGAGGGGAGATATGCAGAGGCTTTAAAATCCTATGGTGGTCAAAACATCTTTTCCTTTGTGGTTTTTTTCCCTATTACTTTTATGCTTGGAAGTTAATTCCTGTTCTAGAGAGCAGGTAAGTGATCATTTGCACATGCTTTTAATTATTTATAAAAATTTTGACAATAGTATGAGGTAGGATTCTATCCTGCATTATTTTTCTGTATCATCAACTTTTTCAGTGTAAAATGTTGGATTGATCCAAAATGTGCTCTTCAATTTACAGTAAGTTCTTCTATACATAGAGTTGGTTTTTGAGCTTACTGTTTAATATTGTAATATTTGTAATTTTATAGTATCTTAAAATAAGTGATAGCACAGTCCTGTCTCTTACTCTTTTAGAGGAACATTAGGATAATTTTATCAGATGTCAAGTGAAAATCTCATTAGGAGCCAATTTAAATTGATGAAATAATCAGGAAATCAGGCACCCTAACAAAGTCCGTTTGCAGATGGTGGTTATGTACTATTTCCAGTGGATCTAGATGGCTGCATCCCAGCACTGTAGGAGTTGGGAACTAAATGAACACAGAGATTTCCTAATTTCCTGGCGTGGGTGCCCACGTGGGTATAGACAGGAAGACTGTGAATCTGAGTTTCTCTTGGGTGATCCCAGTGCTGCAGGTATGACTGGCGGCCCTCCCATAGGATTTGCTTCCAATCTAGATGGGTTTGGGTTCTAGGAAGTTCCTATGAAGGAAAGAGGCCTCGTGTTCTGATTCACTCACCCGAGATTTGTAGCCTCAAGGAGAGGAATAGGCCGTTCCAGATACACGGGCTGCCCAGTCCCGCCCAGGTGGTAATGCCAGTACTGTTGCCCACTGCTGCACCATGGAGACAAGGAAGTTCCTAGAGTACAGCCACCAAGTTCTTGGAATAGGCCATTACTCAGGCTCCTGCCATGTCATTTGGTGTTCCTTTTTAGTCACAGGTAATTTTCTATACAGTTTTTCTTGATCATATTTTTCCCTCTTTTACTTATTTATTTTTTTTAGAACCAGTCAGGAATAAAATAAATACAGAACGTCTCTCAATTTCCATTTTAAATTTTTGAATTTTTCCTTTGTCTTTTTCCGATTATTAAAAAAGTACAAACTTACTATAGCCCGTTAAAATGCATTAATTGTGTTAATTACAGTTATTATACCTGTTCACCTTACAATAAATCTTGCATCTTTGAATTTCCAGTTGAGTGCTTGTATCCCGAATCTTCCCATCTTTATCAATTTTTTGTGTTTAGTTAAAAAAAAAAAAAAGCTTACTGAAATTCTACTTAGAATATTGAAACAATAAGGTTTTGAATATATGATGTGAGAATATGTTAATAGGTCATGTTTAGAGAAAACATTTGCTAATAATTTAGAATCTTTATAAATAATAAAATGTAAAGGAAAAAGTAGAGGATGCTTTGGGCAAGGTGAGACCAAAATTAACAGGCCCTCTGGGATGAGGTGACTTGGGCACATGTATGTGTGCACACATACACACTTTGCACAGACAACCCCACTACACACACACACACGAGTTTTGAAGGCAGATGTAGGATTTGTTTGCAGAAATGCAGGTGCAAGATGTTTATGGGGATTTGAGCCCATTGCAGGGCAGTTATTCATTAGCTTTATTAAGCTCAGTCCTCCAGCACCAGCAGTGAGGGTATCTTGAATTATTAAAAAGTAACCAAATCAGTGTGTCTTGCTCCTAAGCATCCAGGTAGCCTTTGTTACTCCACTGGTCTATTTAATACCCCCACGCTGCTAAGCTGTTCTTTTATCCTACAGACTCCTATATGCCTAAATACTGCATGAAAAAGAAAACTCTTGATCTTTAACAGTTATGAAGTGCCTGCCTTCTGGCATCTGAAGAGAACAAAAACAGGAAATACAAACTGCAGGGTGGTGGTTCAGTAAAATTCCTGAGTTGGTTAACGAAAAACAGTTTCCATCAAGCTAATGCTTTGCCTCTTAGAACACTCTGTCTCCATCATCCCATGAAACCAACAGAGCAGGGGTGTTTCTCAACCATGACCATCAGGAATCCAGTGTGTTGAAATTGTCAAATAGGTGTTGATGCTGAAAGGACCATCTCCTTGGTGACCCCCGTCCTAGGTGAAACCCAGAGTAGGTGCTCAGGAAGTGTTTGCTGAGAGAATGAGTGGCTGTCAGCACGGCATGGAACAGCGATGACTGTTCGCGTTGGGTGATTTATGTTCGTGGAGCAATTTCTAATCATGTGGTGTCAAGGATGAGCGCTCGCCCGCCTTTCTCAGCTCCTCCCTTGTTGTAAGGCGGCAGCTGGACTGACCAAGGCTAAGGCTGAGTGAGCACCATGCCTGGCTCAGTCTGGAAGAGATATTTCATGAGAATAAGTCTGTTGTTTACGTCTAGAGAATAGTTAGTTTATGCGCAATCAATGGCACATCAGTGTGTATCTGAATACCATGTGAAATGTGTTCAGTCTGCTTTCGTCTTTCTGAGTTGTTTTAATTTACCTTGATCTCGATTATACAACCTAGGCTGCACTAGAAGTCACAACATCTGGCCTAAGTTCCATCTAGTTTTGGGTAAAAGTGGCTCTCATAGGCTGAGTTTCACAAAGGCACAATGTAACTTTCACGTTTCTGTTTTTCCTTGGAAGTAGAGTCTGTGCTGTTTCTACCTTTGATGTCTCATTTTGTGTATGTGTTTTTGTGAGTGCACAGTGTTCATATTTTACTCTGTCTCCCACTGATTTCTGTCTCTTTCTGTATATGTGTGCAAATGTGCACATATATATGTGCTAGTGTGTCCGTGTGTACAAAGGTGTATGGCTGTGTCTCCCATAAGGTATATCTTTGTTGCTGTCAGTACCTAGTTTATAAAGGACAACACACTAGGCGCTGAAATTACAAAACCGCTTAAGATATGGTCCTTACCTTTGAAAATCTCATTTTTAGCAAAGGATACAGAATCATAATGAAATCATCAGATTATAATGCAGTCATAGACAAAGGTGTTTGTGAAATATATGTGAAATAATTCAGGCAGGGGGTGTTAGGGAAGGATACAGAGAGCAAGAGCTGTTTAATTTTGGCTTTGAAAGGTGAGTGGGAGGACCCTGGACAGAAAAGAGGAGAAAGAACATTCCAGGCAGCAGGAGAGGTGTGCAGTCAGGCACTGTGGACGAGCAGCCCATGTTCAGGAACTGAAAGAAATCCAGTTTGGGTAGAACACAGGTCATACAAAAGTCAGTCACTGAAGATGAGGCTAACTAAAGTCAAGTTGTTTTTTTAAAGCAAAATTCTCTGACACAAGTTTGGAAGGTAGTCAATTATTATTACTTAAATGGCCTTACACATACATTTTATAAGCAGAAAGGAGGACAAGTAGAGTTTGCCGAAAAGGAATAA